TAATAAAAACTCACATTCTTTATTTTTATCTCGATATATGGAATAACTCCAAACCAACTCAAATTTTCTGAACAAAAATAGTAAAAGAAGGAATTTTCTCATATGAAAACAATTGGCTGCTTAATAATTTTATTTCTATTTAATATAAATGAAAGAGTATTTGAAAAAAGGTTGCTAATCAAGATTTTTGATGGAGAATTGAAAAATAAATTGAAAAGGGAGAGGTAAAAACATATTTTAATTATTATATTACGAGCCTTTCTATCTTTGTTCGTCATGTAACTTAATTTTGGGATTGATATAATATAACTAATTCATTCAGAGATTTAACAATTTGAGAAATGCATAATTAATTTAGGAAATATTCAACAATAAGAAAAAAAATTTCTTAAGAACTGTTTATAATAAAAACATGATTAATTGGAAAGATTAATAATTATTCATTTTCCCTTTAACATGTAAATTGGAGTATTTTCAGCTTAATTTATTAAACGAGTTTATCAAGTTTATCTTTTATCTTAAAGCAATCTGCCTTTATTCAATAATGGTATTTGTATCATGGTTTTTTTATTTTGATTTATTTTGATTTTTCTTTCTTATATTAGTCATAAGATATGGTTTAGATCATACAAATGTTTTATATTTTCAATACAAGAGTGATGACAAATATAAGAATATCCTCCCTTAATAAAATGATTTTTTTGAATAATTTCTTTTTTTATCATTTATGATGGCTTTTTTTCAATAAATATTTTATAATTAAAATTAGGAGTTGGTTACCAAAACAATTAGAAAATTTCTAAGAAAGGTTATTACTGAAAAAAATTGAAATGTTTTTATTACCACACTTAAATAATTAATTTTAAAATATACTTAAATCGTTTTAAAGTAATTACAGAATATTCTTCTATTCTTTTTTTGATGAAATAAAGGTGTCAAAATTTAGCAGAATAATTTGGAATGCCCTCTAAATCTAAGATATTAAAATGTTTTAAGATTATTGATTTTAGAATTTTGAGTAATTAAACTTAAAATAGATTAAGAGTTTTTAATAATATTTATGATTAGAAAGGATATTTAGTTTTTTTTATGGATCCTCCAACTTGTGAATGGATTTAGGAGTTTGTATAGTAATTATGATAAGGCTGGTTACCTGATTGAATGTAGAGGAGGACATTCTCATGCACCTGGAATGCATCCTCATCCTTGTGGTTGTAATGTAATAATGTAGATTTAGATTTTCACTCTGGTTGTTCATCAGTTACAGAACCTAAAATGATCATACTTAATGGAAATGAAGCGCTATGCCATCCGAGACTTCAATAATATACAGTGTGGCCACTTTAATACTTTGAATAGGTGTTATTCTGTTAGAATAAAGCAATAATCTATGAATATTCAGAGAATACCGATTTAGTCCTTTCATGCTTATTTGTGTTTGATAACTGTCTTATAGCTTAAAGGTCTGGAGATATTCTTAAGTGCTAATATTGTTCTGCTTATAAAACCGGTGAGAGATGTTTACCATCGCTTGGTACTTTAAATCCATATTTAGGTTGCGGAAATAATTGTGCAAGTTGCGTATCAGATGATTGTGGAACATGTAAGGAAGGGTATTCACCATCAAGTAACACAGATTTAAAATGTAGTTTAGGTAAATCTACATTAGATATTCTAGCCTGCTAAGCAACACATTTGAGTTGTTCGGTGGATAATGGTGTATACTCATTTTAAGGGTGCAGAAAAGGCTACGAGCTGGTTGACGATTAATGCGTGGGTATTAATAATATAAAGAATTTAAGCATGCCCTTTTAAATGCACTACTTGTGTAACGGGTGTTTGCACTGGATGCGAATTCCACTATTTTCTAAAAGACAATTAATGTTTTGGAGATATCAATTGCACTAGATTTGATTATAATTATGATCCTAATACTGGATTAGCTGTTGGGATAACATGTTAAATATGTGACTTTGGATATTTTTATAATCCAATTCAACAAAAATGCACACGTAATATATTTTAAATATTTTAAGTCTGCAAAGAGCAGCCTGGTTTAGAAAAATGTTTGATTTGTTTTAATGCGACAGAATGCAAAGTTTGTTTGGGAACACATATAATAACTGATGATAAGAAATGCACGCCATTTCTTGGTTGCTCTTCAAATTGTTAAACCTGCCTATATACTGATCCTAATTACTGTACAACTTGTAATTTGAAGGAAAAATTTCTAACTTCAGCTATTAAGCCTGGGCAATGTATTTGTGATTATCCAAATGGTTATATTGATAAGGATGGTGTCTGTGCGAAATGTACAGATGGGTAATGCTCAAGTTGTCGTTATAATTATTATTATTGCGTATCTTGTAGAGCAATAACAAATAGAATGCTTTTTTTTACTCAATGTATTTGTAAACAAGGCTATTACGAGACTGGTTTGAGCAATTAAATATGCCTAAGTATATCTAAATTTAAACTAGAATGCTATGCTGATTGTTACAATTGTAAAGGACCTTATAATAATGATTGTACCGAATGTGGAGACCCTAGCATTTATTATAAATACTTTGAAAATGGGTCATGTTTTTGCTTAGAAAGAACATTACTGCAAATTTAATCTGACGGAAATAGCATTTGCCAACGTAATAATATTAATTATTTAATTAGCTTGTCATCCTAGATGCTAAAAATGTTCTCAGCCATATGACACTTCAAATAATTAATATTGTACTATGTGTATCCCCGAACAACGTAGAGTTTTATCAAGCGATTACAAATGTGTTTGTTAGAATGGATATGGAAGCGATGGAATCTAAGATATTTGCACTAGTAACCGATTTAAAAGTTAATCATAGAGTGTCATTATTCATGTATGAGTTGTAAAGGACCTCTTGAAACTGATTGTTTATAATGTTCCTCAGTTGCTCATAGATATTTGACAATTGACAATACATGTTCTTGCACCTAAGCCTATTATGATCCTGGTTTCTAAGATCAAATTTGCTATTGTAATTCCATTTTCAATAATTATTAGTGGCTTGTCATCATTCTTGTACTAGTTGCAATGTTTATGGAAAAGATCAATGCACTTCATGCCCTTCAACAAGATATGCTGATTAAGTTGGAACTACTTTCTAATGTCTTTGCAAAGACTCACATTATTATAGTGATCCGCTCTTCTTATAATGTTAGCCATGCCACCTAACATGCAAAACTTGTAATGGCATTTATCAAACTAATTGTTTAACTTGCGATACTACTTATAGATAATTGGTTCTTTCAAAATGTGATTGCTACCCTGGTTATTATAGTCTGGGCAGCCTGTAGTGTTCATGTGATTATTCAATACTTACTATTAGAGTGCCATAATACCTGTCTATCTTGTTTTTCTTCGGATGAAGATGGTTGTATCACTTGTGCTTCAGATAAAAACAGAGTTATGAAAGCTAACAAATGTGTCTGCATGAATAATACACTGTAAACATCAAATACTGATCCAATTTGTTAAAGTCAATTTTTCATTTTATCTTAGATTGCTCATATCGTTGTTCATCTTGTACTATAAATCCAGAGAATTGCACCACATGCCCTGATTCATCAGAACGTGACTTAGGGACTGATAATTCATGTTAATGTCCAGCTTATTATTATGATTAACCTGGTAACCCCATTTGCATAAGTAAATTTTAAATTTAATTTTAGAGTGTCATGGTACTTGTTAAACCTGTCAAGGGTCACAAAGTAATTAATGCACATCTTGTAATACTCTAAGTAAAAGAGAATTGAACTCCAATGGTGAATGCAAATGCCCAAACTCATACTTTGATTTAGGAATATAAGAATGTTAAAGTACATACTAATCAAAATATTTATAGCTTGCAGCAGCGATTGTTTAGAATGCGCAATTACTCCTACAAATTGTACATCTTGTAATCCAGATAGATATTTACTCGGAAACAGTTGTTTATGCAAAACAAAACTTTAAGGCAGTTATTTAACTACATATTTAGTTCCATTAAAAAATCGATGCCAAAGTAAATTAATTAAATTTATGCATAGACTGCCATTATAGTTGTCTATCCTGCAGTGGCCCATAAGCAAATTAATGTTTGTCTTGTTTAAATTCAGAATCAAGAATTTTAGTTGACAAAAGTTGTGTATGTGGTGAAAATACCTTGGATATCAGTGTTCCTAATTGTCAAAGTAATTGATTCCTTCATCATATTAAGAATGCGATTATCGATGTTAAGGATGCACAACATTATCTACTCTATGTAAAGCTTGTCCATCATTGAGCTTAAGGATATTTAATTCTTCGAGCTCTTCTTGTAATTGCCCTAGCTAGTATTACGATGATGGAGTCAATACTGTTTGTTAAAGTAGAATTTTATAATAGCATTAGAATGCGACTACTCTTGTTTGACATGTAAAATAACATCAACTAGATGTGATTCTTGTTAAGTAAATTCAAATCGAACTTACAATATTTTATTATTTTCTTGCCTTTGTAACGATCAATATTATGACTCTGGAATTACTATTTGTCAATAATGTCATTATTCCTGTTAACTATGTAATTCTTTTGGAGCAGATTAATGTCTGAGTTGCTAACCATAGACAACATCATTTAGAATATTAAATGGAAAGGTTTGCGAATGTCTCCTTGGATATTATGACGATGGATTGTCTTCAAATTGTTAAAAATGCTTTTATAAATGTTAAAGCTGCATTACATCATAATCTTATTGCACATCTTGTGTCTAAACAAGGCATTTATCTCAAAATCAATGCCTATGTGACACTGGCTTTTATGATAATGGCTTAAGTAATTGTAGTAAATGTGATTCAAATTGTTACAATTGCAATTACAATTCAAAATTATGTACAGAATGTGATTCAAATACCTTAAGGATTTTGAACACAAATAATAATACTTGTTAATGTTAACCAGGCACAACTGAAATAGATGGATTATGTTAATACTGTGATATCAATTGTTAGACTTGCTCAAATACTATTACAAATTGTATATCATGCGGTCCATCGAAAATGCTAATTAATTCAAAATGCGTTTGTATAGACGGAACATATTTGTTGAATGTTGATAATAAATGTTATAATTGTAACTCTACTTGTGAAACTTGTGGTGGACAAGACTCATTTTGTTTGAGTTGTTCTTCAGATAAAAATAGAGTTCTTAATATTACAAATCACTTTTGTATTTGTATGGATGGATATTATGAAGATATAGTAAACAACTCTTGTTTGTAATGCGATAAAACATGCTTAGCTTGTTTTGGTAATTCTTCAAATTGCACACAATGTGATTCAAGTCTGAACTTAACACTGAATTAGTAAAATAAATGCGTATGCAAATCAGGTTACTTTTTTAATCTTATTGCCTAATAATGTTAAGGTAAAATTGATATTTAATTTTAGTATGCCACTTTAGTTGCACTGAATGCTAAACCTAAAATTAATGTTTGTCTTGTGAATTAATAACTAGATATTTTGATAGTGATACATCGAAATGCATTTGCAAGGATGGCTTTTTTGAAGCAAATCAAAAATAGTGTATATGTAATAATTACGATTAAAATTATAGAATGTCACAGTAGTTGTAAAACATGTTAAATTTAATCAAATAAATGTCTTTCTTGTGATTCATCTAATCTAAGGTATTTTTAAATAAATTCTTGCCCCTGTCTTGATGGTTATTATGATGTTGGAGTTGAAATATGTCAAAAATGCAGCGACATTTGTAAAACTTGCTAAATAAGTTCAACAAAATGTTAATCCTGTTACCCAAATCATCTGCGTACAGTAAATCAGAATGATTGTACATGCATTCCAGGTTATTTTGATAATGGATCATTAATATGTGAAAGTATTTATCAGTTTAAGATTAGAATGCTCAAATTCATGTTAAACTTGCAAAAGTCAGAAAGATTAATGTACTAGTTGTGATGTAAATTAAAATAGATTAGATTAATCTATTATACACAAATGTCCTTGCATTTCTGATTTTTATTAGGATTCTAATGAAATTTGCTAAAGTAATTATTTTCATTTTATTTAGAATGTCATGTAAAATGTTCTGGGTGCGTTAATGATAGAAATAATTGCTTAAGCTGTAAATATCTCTAAGGATCCAATAGATAAACAATTTCAAATTAATGTAATTGTAAAGATGGATATTATGATGATGACGTTCAAATTATCTGTAATAAATGTGATAGTCGTTGTAAAACTTGTGAAAAAGATGCAAAAAATTGTCTTAAATGCTTCAGTAACTTAAGAATAAATCCTCCAGATTGTTCATGTATGAATGGTTACTTTGAAACTTCATAACTAACTTGTGAAGGTAAATGTTACTATTATTTATTAAGCTTGCGAATTTTAATGCAATACTTGCTAAACTATACCCTCCAATTGCTTAACATGTAAGGAAGGTCGAATAAACAAATCGTGTGATTGTGAAGAAGGATATTTTGAAGATGGCCAACCTTTATGCATTTGTAGATATTCAATTAATATTTTAAGAATGTGATGTTTAATGTCAAAGATGCGAACATTATGCAGATAATTGTCTAGCATGTAGAGGCGATAGATCGGAAATTCCTTTATGCCGATGTTAAGATGGATATTATGACGATTTTTAAAGTTTAAATTGCTTGAAATGTGATTACACTTGTAAAACATGTACTTTGTATGAATGTTTATCCTGCAATGGAAATAGAATTTTATCTGATTAAATGACTTGTGATCCACCTCCAAATTCAGCTAGCTCACTATTAACTCCTTGGTGTTCAAGTATAATCTTCATAATATCAAAGATTGTGATGTAGCAGTCATGAACATTACTCTATCGGATGATCTGACAGCAATAATTGTCTAATTTGATTTCCCCTTAAATCCAAATTTCTTTTCAACTTAACTTGATAGCAACGTTTGCTTTAACATCCTAAACTAGACTACTCTTTCTAAATTAGGAATAAATCCAACGTGTATAATAGATCCAGATAATTAACAATAATTAATTTTGAATCTTGGCCGCAATCCCACTATTATTCCAGGAGATTTAATTTAATTTTTGCCAGGTTCACTTGGTCACAAAGATTGTAGTAGCAAACTGTTGTCCTTCTTTTTAAATAGACTTCAAAAACCTTCGAATCCATTAGCTCCTATTATCAAATATGATGTACCTACATATCTTTTTAATCCTTGTGATGAGAACATTATCTTATTGGAATAAAAACTCTATGATGGCTTACGAAGTTTTATCTCCTTATAATGGTCTTTTGTTGTGCAGGGATAAAATGGAAATGGTGATCTTGCTAATTTCGTTACTGAATTAACAAATTTACAATTATTGGATCTAACAATACCATAAAGAACATTACCAATTCAATCTAATGTAACTTTATATGTGGAAGTTCAAAACTTTGTCTAAAAAAAAAACGTTTTCTAAATATTTATTCAAACACATGCAGGATAATTTCCTAGTATTGTGTCGAAGTTTAAACTGCAATATTATCCTTTTGAATCTATAAATCTAGCTTTCACTTTAGTTTCAAAAAGTTGCATTGAAAATTCAAAAATATCAAATGATAATTCTCAATATTAAGTTGAATTTTACGAAATATATAGAAATAACTCTAAATCCAGACCTTCTAACATCAATTATACCAAATCAATTAATTCCAACTTATTGGAATTTAATATTCAAAGCTACTCTTTAAGTGCTTGGACAGCTTATACATTTCAATTAACTATTTCAGATTCTTCAATTTAATATTATTCCTAACAAAATGTAACTCTTTAGATTAAATCAGCGGGAATTATCTGCCAATTTAATGGAACAAAGAAATTGCAAAAATACTTAGATGTTACAAATATTTATATCTTATGCAAAGATCTTGATGTTTAATATAATTGGAATGAAGATCCAGAATTGTCAATAATAGTTAGTTGTTTAGATCTAACTGCTCAAGAAGAATGCAAGGATTCGTAATAGAAAAAATTATAAATTAATTCTACTTCAACGAGTTAGGTTTTTCCTAAAGCTACTTTTTAGCCATTCACAATTTAAGCGTGGATTGTAGTAGCTACAAAAAATTCATTATCATACACTTATAAAATCATAATTGTATATTTAGAATATGATTTCAAAATCCTAGACGTCGATTATAATAATGGATATTTGGTAAGGCCTGTTAATAACTATGAAGATTTACAATTTACTTTTAATATACCTTTTAAGAATAGACAATATCTTCTAGATTATTAAATAGCAATAATTTACGATTATTAATTAATTTCAATACTTAGTCCCCAATACTATAAATATTCCTTTTAATTATATGATTATTATTAATAATTTAATAAAGGAAATAAATTTAACCTAAAATTTTTAGCTTAATATACTAATGATATCATTCCTGATCAGGCAGACTTAAGCCTAAGTTTAAATTAACCTCCAATTTGTAAATTTCAAATGCTAGAATAGAATATCAAAGCTTTAGAGTCTCATAAAATAGCAATTAATTGTGAATAATCTGAAGATAAACCATATCTTTATTAAATGAAAGTGTTTTTATTTAAAGATGATTTTGAAGAGTTTCAAAATAAATCTTCAGATAATTCACTACTTTTCTACAGCTTTTAGTAATCTAATAATTTAATAGGATATTTTCCTAATTTAGAAATTAATGTAATATTTTAGATCATCGATTAAAGAGGGTCTATTACAAATATTCAAAAGAACTTAAATATGTCGCAGAATCAAGTTGTCTGTTCAAATTAAACTATAGATCAATTAATATTAAGGGAAAAAATTGCATGGATATTTGAAATAATGATTAATCGTTAAGACGATTAAAATTGCATCAAAATGAAGGATGAATTATTAAAATATATTGAATTAGGAATAAACTCTAAAGATATATATGAAAAATTATTAGACCATCAAATAATTAATTTATAAAAAAAATTAATAATTAAATAGTAGGCTTAAAATACTTCAATAAGATTATTAGAATAAAATGAGCAATATGAATGCTATAATAATGAAACATTTCTTTTTATTAATACTAATTAAGAACACTTCTATAAAAACATCACAAATATTTCATCCTTAGTAATATATTCTTAAAAAGTAGAATAATAAATAACAAGTTTAATAAAGTTGAAGGTGAATATGGAGAAGTAAAATGAACAAAATACTCTAATAGTTGATACTCAGTCAAATATGTTGATTAAAAGTGTAATCTAGATGCTATAAATTTCAGTACAATTAATTGATTATTAATTTGTAATTATTTCTCAAAATGAAACGTCGGCAGAGCATTAAGAGCAAGTAGCAAAGATATCTGAAAAATTCATTTCATTAATTGATAATATTACTATGCATATTAGTGATACAGTCTAAGTTAATGGATAGGCTTTATTGATTTAAGGGATGATTTTAAAATTATAATTTTAAAAACTTACGAAATCAAAGCATAATATAGATTTTTAAATGCCGAATGATTACCTAGATAATTTAATTACATTCATACAGAAGTAACAACTAATAGTGAATTACAATTATTATAATCAATCATAAACCTACAGGACTATGCTTCAAATTTACTTAAATAGATCAGATTTTGAGATTGATTAAAAGCATTTCGTCAAAACAATGTTAACTAATTTCCTTTATACTAATTCCTAAATTAATCAGCTTGAATTAAATAATTATTATAGAATTGACATGGCAGAATTGAAATTTTGTGACACTTCAAATCAGTTTTCCTTAGTTGTTGAATATAATTATTATTGTATTAATCATATTAAGGAAAATAAATTTGAAAAATGTGATTTAGAAATGGAATAAATTGATGATCAAAGAACATAACTTTTTTGTAAATGCAAGACTATAGGAAATTTATTTTTGATAAAAATTGCTAATAAAAGTATAACCTAAAATAATAGTACAGTGGTAAATTAATTTTAATTTGATTTTTCATCAATTAAATTATTTGAGCAAGCTTTTCTATTTGTCTAGGGTGGAGTTATACTATCATCTTTTTTTGTTTATTGTTTCCTATTTTATAAAGAACATCAAAGTTAAAAGGAGAGTGACTTAGAATAAAGTTAAAGCGAGAGATAAGATACTCTAGATATAGGTCAGAAAGTTTTAGGAAGAAAATTTTATCCAGGCCACGTTTATATTTTTAAAGCATCTTTCAAAGTAAGTTACTTATTTATAAAATAGTATATCCATTCAATTTTGTAATTTTTTTAAGATGAAGAAAAACATTTTAAAAATGTCAAAAAAAGCTTTAGATTTTTACAGTTTAGTAATTAAATAAGCATCTTAATATTAATATCCACTTGGGAAGTCTTATCCCAAAATTTCGTAATTATGAATATATAAGTTAACCTCCTTATTCTATTAAGCGTTAGAACAATCTCGAAGATATTTTAAGCAATTTATTAGTTTGGAGGAAAAGCTGCTTTAGCAGTAGTTTTACTGTATCTTTGCCTTCCTCTTGTATATTTATTCCTAACAATTTTTGTGTTAAATTAAATGTATATGATGATCTCATATTAGTGCAATACATAAGACTGACATCGATATTTAAGTAGCTTTCAATTTATTAAGCACTTTATTTTTAGTTTTTTTCATTTTTGAGCCGATTGCAATTTATCTAAGAATTGTTTTTTACAAAACCTTCTTCGACAGTGTTAAAAATAATGAATATATTCCAATCAACCATTTTATTTATTTCTTTATCCATCATAGTAGAATAAATAGAATTTATGATTAACTCAATATTAGATGAATTTTATCAAAATTTGATATATTTAATTGGTATTTTGTTATAAATTATTAACCGAACAAAATAAATATTATCTTTCGTGCCTTATTTATATAATTATAATGTTTAATGGCTAATTAATGAATTATTGTTTAATTAAAGCAATTGTGTAAAACATATGAGTCTTTCTCAAATCGTTTGTTCATTATCTAAAAGATTTCTTAAATTATTTTTTTTGGTAATAAAGTAATTTCATCCCCTATTATCTTATCACCTTATTAAATAATAATGAAGGATTTTATGAAAATTTCAAGCTTTTTGAACTATGAATGAAAATTCAAATTTATGTCCTAAGTTATTGTAATAAGATTAGCAGGTGGGTAAATACTTTTTAAAAAGGATAAACCAAATTTTGTAATTCTTTTAGATATCAACTAAAATCAATTATTTGAAGAAAGAGTTCTGATTTGTTGGCTAATTTAATTTCAATTATTTCGAGTCTTACTATGCAGATTATGATGAAATATTAATATTTGTTAGATATTATAAACATTGACTTAATTAATTTATTATTTCATAATATTCAGATAAATAATGGATTTTTTTAAGTTACTGATTTTCTTCTACACATCAATTTCAATTTTAATATTGATCCTATGCAAATAGAAATTAACTCTATAATAATTCCTGTAGATAGTATGAATGCTTGAATCCATCCCAATATAATTTTTTTTCTCTTAATAAATATAATTATTTAATTCTGAGATATAAACGAACGAACTAATCATATACTTGAATCAAAAAAATAAAGTGTGAAAAAATTTTATTTCTTCTGTAAAAGTAATTACT